GGCTTTTTTACATTATATTTCTATGACCTTTGCTTCCAGAAAGGATCATGAGGTTCTCTACACATATTACATATAGTATTTATCATTGCCACTCTCCTCTGAGGTGGGTATTTTTGGTTTCTTTTGCAAAACAGAAAGCAGTACACAGGAGAGAAGGTACTCACTCAGAGCCACCAAATTGCAGTGGGTTGGGGAGGAGATATTAACCTTGCACCTTGAGCCAGAACATTTGCTAGGTGCTGACACTTCATGCCTCATTTTAATTCTCACAGTTCCATAAGGTAGTTCCATTTTACAGATATGAAAACCAAGATCCAGAAAAATTGCCCAAGGTTCCCACGCCAGAACCGGGATTCACAACCAAAGCTACTGAACACACAGGGACTCTCCTCGCTCCTCAACTCTGTTTTGTTGCTTGAGATAGACAGAAATCTCTTTCATGGTGGCCAGTAGGAAAATAATCTCATAGTTTTAATTGAGTGAAAGTTTCAATGTTAACCAAAACTGTGACATAGCTCTGAAAGTCTATAATCTCTGGCCACACCGTAGGAGCAGAATGTCCAAATGGTGAGAAAAGAGAGGTGCCTTGGCTCCTCCCTGATCTGTCCACAGCTGGGCTTGTGCATCCATTGCTGAGCATTGCATTTTAGAGGGCCATCCACAAACAAGGATTCCAGAGAGCCAGAGATCCAGAAGTAAACTCCACTGGGAAATAGTTGAAGGTCTCCTGAGGAGAGAACTGGAGAGGTGATGTGAGAACCTCTTGGACTCTCAATGACTCTCAATGACAGCCTGAAGGCTGTCCTACAGAAATCGGGGCAGACTGTGTTGCTCCAGAGAATATAATAGGACCTCTTGCTCATACAGGGGTATTGGATGAGCAAATTCAAAGGAATTCTGCAAACACCTTATATCAGGACTCAGCAAGGTACTTACATGGTGTCCTCATGTAAGGGACAGAAACAAGCACTACATGGTGATACAGTTAGATGGACTGGTAGACTGGGCACTCTCTAAGAGTCAGTTTAATGGAGTGTAGAGGCCAGCCTCCAAGGTGCCCCCGGGCAATCCCCATCCCCTGATATTCATGTCCTTGAATGTCCCCTCCCACACTAATTTAGGGCTAACCCTGTGTGACTAATAGAATACAATGGAAATAACAGTGTGTAACTTCCAAAAGTAGATCACAGAGGCATTGCAGCTTCTACCTGGCCTCTGTATCATTCACTGTAGTGGAAACCAGCTACCATGGCATGAGGACACTCAAGCAATCCCACTGGGAAGCCCAAATGGAGATCTGAGGCCAATGGCCAGCACCAACTTGCCAATCATGTGAGTAGCCCATCTTAGACATGGGTCCTCAAGCCCCAGTCAAGCCTTCTGCTGACTACAGCTGTAGCTGACATCTGACTGCAACTTCATGTCCAAGCCAGAACCTCCCAAATTTTGAGCTTCTCCCAGATTCCTGACCCATGAAACCATGAGAGATATTAAATGACTATTGATGAGATTTGTTACCCAACCCTAATAACTGGAATATGGAATATCATTCTAGGAAGGCTCTCCAGCACTCTTCTCTAGAACTCAGCTCTAGGCTAGGTTCTGTGCAATACTTTTAGAAACAGTCTGCATCAAGACATAGGAGTGGCACACTAGTTAGCTTTGTAGAAGATCTGCTGCTGAGAGAAATAGCAAACACACAGAATGATAGAGTCAGGAACTAAGATCATCTGAAGTGGGGAGCTGAATTTGTTAGGGTAATTTTTAGTAGAAGCAAAGATAAAGTCCCACACTTGGATTAGAAAACCCAACTGTACCAGGACAAGCCCAGGGAGATGTGGGGTCACAGCAGTACGTGTGAAACAAAGGTGTGAGTTGGCTGCAGGTTCAGAATGAATCATGATGAGGCTGTCATAAAAGCACGTAAAGGTAGGCTGCATTACCAGAAGCATAGGACCCAGGCAAAGGAGGTGAGTCCTCCTCTAGGTTGAGCACATCAACCAGATGACTGTGTTCAATTCTAAGTCACTCTTTACATGGAACACAGGCAGCCTAGTTCCATTCACCGAAGACGAATGGGTGAGGGTAGAGGCCTGCTGACTGAGGCAGATGAGGAAGGGTAGAGAGGAGTGAGGATGCCCAATCTGAAGAAAGAGGAGGAGGAGGAGGAAGGATGTGAAATCACTGATTTCAAATACGGGAAGATCTGGCACCTGGCAGGAATTCTGGGGCACAGGATCCAGGAGTAAAAATGGGCCTGTTTTGTTGGAAGCTGAACCCACAGTTTGGGGTTCAGAAACTGTATAGAAATGTAGAAGTGTAAAAGAGCTGCCTGAAACTAGAACCACGTAAAAACAGGACACAGCCTCGGAAAGGAGTCAAGCTCACGGGCATGTCCAAGCAGAGTCTGATGTTCCACTTGAGGGGAAAAAGGGGAAAGCCATGGAGAGGACTGAATACTTTGAAAGGCTGTCCTCAAAGTCCTCCACACGCCTCTTCCCCTAACCCCCGCCCAGCACTGAGGTTCTCTTATTCTGCAGTTTTATGATTGAGTAGAACCTGCTGCCTGATGTCAGCACGGCGTTCTCAGCCCTCAATGGGCATAAAACACCTGGCGGCTCCAGTTCCAACACAGATCCTAAGTCAATAGGTTTGGGAGGCCTGAGGCTCTGCATTTCAAATAAGCTCCCAGTGGACCCTGACAGTCTGTAGACCACACTTTGAGCAGCAAGAGGTTACAGCTCACCAATGGCAGCAGGTTGGACCAGGCAGCCTGGAAAAGGCATTAGGCAACTGTAAAGTATTCTAGCAGAGAAGGGATGACCAGCTACAAAAATTCTGCACAAGGAACAGGACTCCTGAATTGGACAGGAGGAGCCTGTCTGCATGCCACCGATGGCTTTCGGACACTCATGGCCTTTGATTCTCTGAATACGACCTTTAAAGTGTCCAAACACTTCACCATCATCCTGGGTTTTCGGTATCCTTCAAGAGTAGTCAGTGTGAAGTCAAGCCAGCCTGCACTCAAACTCCATTCACTAACTTGGTGGCCTCTGAGCCTTGGTTCCTTAGTGTGTAAACCAACATAACACCCACTGGAGAAGCTATCATATCAGGCAGCATCTGACACACAATAGGTGCCCAATATATGTTTCTTGGCCTCATTTCAAAGCTGGATGATCAACAAACATGTGTCCCCTTCACTATAAAGATGAATTATCTAATTAATATTCACCCTTGACCTGAATTTGTTTTCATCTATCCCACCTGTCCTAGAATGTCTGTCAACATGACCCCATTTTACAGATAAAGACAATCTATTCTCACCTAGAGAATCAAGCAAATACTGTCATGAACATCCATGGCCCTTCCTGTTGGAATTTTAGGAATTGGATTTTTCTAGAAAGATCATTTGCCCTGGTACAGACATTGAGGTCAGTACAAATAAGATTTTATTTTACTTCTTTGTCTGAATGGGAAGCTGCTATTCACCCCTGAGGGGCTTCGGTCATCAGCATTTCGGAAGTGCCCTAGATGCTCTGAAACTTAGAGACCTGCCTCGGAGAAGCCAATAGATTCTAGCAGAAAAGAGGTGAAGTCAAGAACCACTAACCCATGAAAGGTTTCGGCCACAGCTCCCAGAGGCAGGTGGGTGGAGTGGGCAATACTCCCTCTCTCTTGGGCCATCACTGCCCTGAACAGCGAAAAAACAAAGGACTCAAAGAGAATGTGCTAGACCAGGGCCAGTCCAGTGCCCAAGTAGAGGTAGCCAGTAAAATAACCACATAATTTCAGCTGAGTCACCCTGGGTAAACTGAGGCACTTCCGTTCCTTTTAATCCAGGAACTGATTAAATCTTGGCCTATGATCTTTGCAATGGCTAGCTCCCCCACCCCCCAAAGATGCCATCTCTTGCCTCTCTTCATTCAGTCCTCATCCAGTGCTAGGGTCAGAAAGCATCCGCCACACTGACCCAGGCCACCACGTCTTAGTGTGAAGCCCCACCAGCTGCCTTCATGAGAACTCTGAAGGTCACACGCCCGCTTGGGCGCCCCAAAAGTGCTGTGACTTAACCGGTAGCTAGTGTAGCAGAGAGACATGACCTTGGGTTTGAATTCAGACTCCACCAGTGTTACATCCCAGGGCGGGGGGGGGGGGGGGAGACGATGAGTTGTAATATTTACCTTTTTGAGTTCTTTAGAAAAAATTAAATGAAATAGCAATGCATGTTACACAACTGGCTCAAAGAAGGTATTCAAAAGCTGTGAGTCCTTTTACTACACTTTTTTCCCGGAAACATTATCAAGGAGCGCTACAGCGGTCCTGGGAAATTTCTGCTTCATTTGAAACGTCCCTGGGGAGTTTGAAGACCCTCAGCCTTTTGCTCGAGGTTCCCAGCTCCCGGTACCCCTACCCGCCGCCGCCTCATCTCCTCTCTCCGCCCTCCCCCGCCATCCCGGGGTACCCCACCCCCAAAAAACTTTCCGCCAGCTCCTCCGTGAGGGTCCTTCCCAATCGTGGCCCGAGAGGAGGGGCCGCGAAGCCCTCGATTACGCCATGCCGGCCCGAGCTGCAGACCCCCGCCGGGCGCT